AGGACCATAAGGCAAGGGGGAGGTAGCCATCATTCATTGACCCAAGTATTGATAGGCACAGGTCTTGTATCTGCAGAGGAGAACAACATCTCTTCGAATAAGCTGGAGAGCTTTGAACAGAAAGCTCTGAGTCAGAATGCCCTCCCACATATTGTAAAGGAGGTGACAATACCTCTTCTTGAACGGTAGATGTTGAGAAGTAGGGAGTCTCAATTGAACATGTGCGGCTAGTGATCAAGTACCAAGAGGTGTCTGGAAGTTGCAACGTGGGGAGTCTCAGGCTCATTAGGTACCATGAGGTCCATGGGTAGCAGGTGAAGCCTCCCCTTGCGGAGGCTAGCCCTGTGCTCCACCTCTTACAGCAGAGGCTATGTCTCCACTTGCTGCTCTAAGCCCCTCCCCCCATGGCCCCAGCAGGGGGAGGGGACTCAGAGCTTGACCCCTCCCCGCAATGGCCCCGGGCGGGAGGGTAGGGTTAGATGATGCTGTCTGAGGTGCTGCTGATGGTACCGCGGATTCTAATGAGGCTACTCTATTTACCATCATGGGTACTGATGGTAGCTGTAGTAGTAGTAGTCTTCAGTATCATGCTCTTTACTGCCAAGATATGGGTCTTAGATGAAGTCTTAAAGTGCATCACGTTAGCCAAAGTACTCAGAGCCTCATAGCACTCCTCTCTGGGCCTGAGGTCTCCAGTGACCAAACCTTCTTTGAGGAGGAATTCTATTCTGTTCTTCTTATCCCCCTCCTTAGTGTTTGAATGGGAAACCCTCAGAAACAAATTCAGTAGGTGTCAGTCAGTACTCAAAGCATGCTGGAACCCAGTGTTTTGATGCTGCCTTCACCTTGGAAGCTCTCAGTGACTCCTCTCGACGTAGACTGGGCACTAACAGAACTAATGGGTCCTGGTTTGGGGGTAGGGGGGATTCTTTGTATCTGGGTCTGAAGCTGGACTTAAGGCTTGCTCCATCATTAGAGTCTACACTTCATTTTCCTGTTTTTATGGCACCTTCCCTTAAAAGAAGTCTAAATCTTGCACTTGCTGGGGATATGAGAGTCTCTCAAGCAACAAATACACTGAAAATGCCAGTTGCTGATGCGAATCACTTCTTGACAGAATAGGCACATTTTAAAATTCAGGGAGCCCGGCATCCCATTTGACATATTGATAAGGCGTTAAATAGTTTTTATTTTTCTAAGAAAACAGGAACAACAGTTCCAATAACTATACAAGTTGTAAGAATCCTATAAACTAACACTATATAGTATATTCTAACTCTAAATAAAAAAAAATAAGCACACACTAAACTTCATCTCTGGGCAAAGGAAGTGAGGGCAGTTCGCTTGCACAGCCCTATACAGCCTCAGTATGGGGCATGGAGATGTGTAAGGTGCATGCATGGGCTGAATGGGCACCGCTACCAAAAAACTCTGATCAAAGGTGCAGGGTGCATGCACACCTGAAGTGGAGCACTCACAGGAGCATTGCTCAAAGAAGAATTTACACATTCATGGAAAATGTATAAAATGATCATGCAGAAAAGGTATGGTCTTAAAGTTTCTCAATAGTTGTCAATTAGGCTGTTGGTACCACTACATTTGCGTATCCCTTTTGTAGGGTGTCACCACCTGCCCCTTTTCTGGGCACACAGTTTGTTCTATGTTTGTGCCTCTGGGTCACTAGTACAGCCCTTTTACCCCTCTGAGCTTCCTCTCAGGACACTTGCTTATAAATATTAGGCAATCCTGGTTGCTTTTCCTAACTCTGTCTCAAGGGCCCTGCAGCTCTCTTCAAAACCTCGCCCACTGATTACTAAACTTTTGTTTAACTGGATTACTAAAAGTAATAGTATATAATAGCTTTTAGTAACCCCCTACTACTTATTCCACAAGGAAAAGCCTGATTTATAAGAGACTAACAGTGATTCTGTTCTTGATCACAGTTTAGGTCCCCAGTCCCATCTCTGATCATATTCTCTCCCATCAAGAGCCAAACAATGATCCTTCAAATTCAACCCCCCGCAAAATTCTAAAAAGGCAATCTGACTGGAGCTTCCATCCAGGAGTGCAAGCCTCTAGGTACCCAGCAGCTTCTGTCCTTTTTGGTTTTCATCCCACAACACACCCCATCATATGTTTTTGCTTAACACTTATCCTATAACATCTCATTTACAAAATCAAATTAAAACAGTCCTTTCTCTACACAAGGATATTGTAGTCACCAAGCATATTGGCAGCTGGGTTTGTGAGGACTTAACAGTTTCATCAGTAGGCATCAGCTTTTGCAAGCATGGTAGATAACTTTGGAAAAACTGCCGAGACTAAACCTGTCCTCTATTAACACGGACATCAAATAAATAGGGAAATGAATGACAGAACTTAAAAGCTATGTTTTAAACTGGGTAGGTAAATTGCTTAGCCCAGGACCTCTGTTGCATTTTCTCTCAAAAGCTATGTATTTCACACTTCTGTACTGGTAAGTGCATCCAAGGAATCCCAATTGGTAGTTGAGAAGATGGAGGAGAGAAGAAAGATTTAAGTCTGCTAGACTCTGGTGAACTCTGAAGTGAAGAGTATACCAAAAAGATGATCAACGCTGTAAGCATAAGAGAACCAGGTTGGTAATAGAAAGTTTTAGGTTTGGAGAACACACATCTTCTCCAAACTAGGAGTTTGGGGGAAATAGGTAAAGGTGACTACAGTTCCAAAGAGAAGTCAAAAGGAAGCATTCAGTTTCCAAGGATTTTACCAAGAAAATTATTCAGTTTAAAATCTGATGTTATGTGCCTATTCTGCTTATGCTTTACCCTGACTCTGCTCATGGCTGTTTCTAAAGCCCAGTGAGGTGGAGCCAAGTCAGAGAAGTCCATTGGAGCACAGCACATTATACAGGTTTGGTTTTGGAGTAACTGATTTGACTAACAGTTTGCAAATGAACTGAGGATTTTCTGTTATAACCAAATTAATATTTTCTCAGTCAGATAACAAAAGGATTAAAACAGATTTACAAGTTTCCAAGGATGTTTAGGAAAGTAAATATTCAAGGATTAATAATGTCCCTGCCTCCCTGGCCACCCTGGACTGGGAGTGTCTGCCTGTCTGCTGTGGAGTGGCAGGGGCTGATGTCAGGGTGTCGTCCCCCCAACCTGTGCACCCAATTTCCATTGACCTGGGATGACAGGACAGGGGGAATCTGTGTCTCTGCTGCTGCCTCTCTGGGTCCGGAGCTGCTGGCAGCTGCTTGTATCTGAACACAAGCCTTCAGGATCCTGACCTTGAGTGCTTTTTTAAAGAGACAGCACACTCATATACTCAGACACACACACACTCCCCTGAACACAACACACACAACACCAGGGCTCCCTGCATTCAGGACACTTCCCCACCTGGGCTGTGCTGAGGCAGCAGCAGCTGCTGCTCTCCTGCCCTCTCCTTAGGCAGCTCTGGAGGTGCATGGGGCAGAGGAGCAGCAGTCCAGTGGGGGAGTGAGCAGCAATGCCAGCTGTTTTGTGCATCCAGGTGGGTCAGTTTCCCTACAGGGGTGCAGGAGGGGATGCGGGGGTAGGGGCTCAGGAAGGAGGCGCAGGGGTTAGGAGTGAAGGGGGCACAGTGCAGGGGTTAGGGGCACAGGAGGGGAGTGCAGGGGTTGGGGTGTAGGGGGCACAGTGCAAGGGTTAGAGGCTCAGGAGGAAGGTGCAGGGGGTAAGAGGGAAGGGGACACAGTGGAGGGGTTGGGGCACAGGAGGGAGGTGCAGGGATTAGGGGTGAAGGTGGCACAGTGCAGGGGTTGGGGGGAAGGGAGGGTGGGGAGCCCATGGGGGA